GTGAAAATCGTGACAAATAGAATAAAAAATCTTGACAAGGTCGCCAACGGTCGGTAAGTTTGTCAGGTCTCAATATACCCCTATAGTCAGGATTAAAATGATGTGTATAACCTCCATACTGACATCTATCCATATTGTTATCATAAAAATGTTTTCAGTTCTGTTTGACTAATCACAAATATTGTTATATTTGCCATGTTTTAAGCCTATTTATTGTCATAGCAGCCAATTTTTTCAACAAAGGAAGAAAAGAAAAATAGTGCATAATTTTCAGACTGCCATCTTCCCATATTTCAAGTTTCATAAAAAAATATTTTAGTTCTGTTTGACTTATCACAAATATTGTTATATTTGAAATGTTTTAAGCCTATTTATTGTCATAGCAGCCAATTTTTTCAACAAAGGAAGAAAAGAAAAATAGTTCATAATTTCCAGACTGCCATCTTCCCATATTTCAAGTTTCATAAAAAAATATTTTAGTTCTGTTTGACTTATCACAAATATTGTTATATTTGCCATGTTTTAAGCCTATTTATTGTCATAGCAGCCAATTTTTTCAACAAAGGAAGAAAAGAAAAATAGTGCATAATTTCTAGACTACCATCTTCCCATATTTCAAGTTTCATAAAAAAATATTTTCAGTACTTTATGCGGTATCGCTGGATCCAGTATATGTGTTAAATATGCATTATTTCCATTCTATTTGCTGCCAAAGCAACCAGAATTTTCAACATGGAAGCAAAAGAAAAAGAAGTGCATAATTTCCTTACTGCCATCTATCCACATATCAAGTTTCATAAAAATAATTTCAGTACTTTTGTGTTATCATGGGATTCAGTTTTGTGGACAGACGGAAGGACGGATGGACAGACGGACGGAAGGTAAACCTAAAATCCCCTCCAGTTAAACCGGTAGGGGACTAAAAGCAAAATAAATATCAATAAATAGTAACAATGTACAATTAATACTAAAAAAGTAAAAAAATATATTAAGCATCAAGTAATAAGTATCAAGTGAAAAAGAAGATTACAAAATAATTGAATTACTGGCTTTCAATTGAGCTTTAAACTAGAAATGTGTCCACGGATGCCCCCACACGCCACTGTTCTGTCAATCTTATGACTCTAGGTCAAATATTTTTGGGACAACATGTGCCACAAGTTGAAAACTAAAAATCAACAAAGGGCCATAATTCTGTTAAATTTGTTCGCAGCAAAAATTCCTTCCTTTACTACCATCTACACATTAAGGTTGTTCATCCCTGGAAGTTTAAGCAAAATCTGCCATCTGGTTTAAGAGGAGTTGCGTTCACAAAATTTCTACATAGTATATAGTGAAAAAATCAACAAAGGGCCATAATTCTGTTAAATTTGGTCGCAGCAAAAATTCCTTTCTTTACTACCATCTACACATTAAGGTTGTTCATCCCTGGAAGTTTAAGCAAAATCTGCCATCTGGTTTAAGAGGAGTTGCGTTCACAAAATTTCTACATAGTATATAGTGAAAAAATCAACAAAGGGCCATAATTCTGTTAAATTTGGTCGCAGCAAAAATTCCTTTCTTTACTACCATCTACACATTAAGGTTGTTCATCCCTGGAAGTTTAAGCAAAATCTGCCATCTGGTTTAAGAGGAGTTGCGTTCACAAAATTTCTACATAGTATATAGTGAAAAAATCAACAAAGGGCCATAATTCTGATAAATTTGGTCGCAGCAAAAATTCCTTCCTTTACTACCATCTACACATTAAGGTTGTTCATCCCTGGAAGTTTAAGCAAAGTCTGCCATCCGGTTTAAGAGGAGTTGCGTTCACAAGATTTCGGGACGTAAGGACGGTCAGACGGACGGACGGATGGACATTCGGACGGACAAATGCAACGCTATATGCTTCCACTCTGTGGGAGCATAAAAATCATGTAAAACAAAACAATTTATAGATTAATATCATAACAAATATATGTATATGTAATAAATTTTACTAGCTTATTTCAGCCTCAACAGAGGCAGGCCTGCCTACATTCAGTTAGTCATACTTGCCCAGACCTAAAAGAAATTTTCTTTTAAAATTCAATTTTAACTTTAAACTTCTTGTTGTGTGAAGTATAAGTAATAACAGACAATGTGATAGAACATGTCATAAAAAACAATGTGATAATAACAGACAATGTAATTGAACATGTCATAAAAAACAATGTGATAATAACAGACAATGTGATAATAACAGTCAATGTGATAATAACAGTCAATGTGACAATAACATATAATGTGATAATAACAGAAAATGTGATAATAACAGTCAATGTGATAATAACAGACAATGTGATAATAACAGTCAATGTGATAATAACAGTCAATGTAATTTTACATGTTATAACAGACAATGTGACAATAACATATAATGTGATAATAATAGAAAATGTGATAATAACAGTCAATGTGATAATAACAGACAATGTGATAATAACAGTCAATGTGATAATAACAGTCAATGTAATTTTACATGTTATAACAGACAATGTGACAATAACATATAATGTGATAATAATAGAAAATGTGATAATAACAGTCAATGTGATAATAACAGACAATGTGATAATAACAGTCAATGTGATAATAACAGTCAATGTAATTTTACATGTTATAACAGACAATGTGACAATAACATATAATGTGATGATAATAGAAAATGTGATAATAACAGAGAATGTGATAGAACATGTAACAACATACAATGTGATAGAGTCTGTAAAAATAAACACTGTTATAGAACATGAAATAACATACTATTTGATAGAGCATGTATTAGCAGACAATGTTTTAGAACATGTTATAACAGACAATGTGCTGTAAAAACAGACAGTATGTTCTAACAGACAATGTTATAAATTGGTAATAATTACATATTTAATCACATTGTCAGTTATAACATGTTTCATATAAATTGTTGACAATTTGATAGAATGTGCTAGAACAAACAATGAAATAAAGTGTTTTAAAACAGAAAATGTAAAGGAGCATATAGTATTAGAAAATGAGACTGAATATGTAATAATATATATTATTATATGATCTAAATATAGCTGCAATCTCATTGGTCCAAACAGTAGTCAACAGAATTTCTTATAGAATCATATTCACTGGGTGTAGTATCATATTCACTTTTCCCAGTCTAACAAGAGCTGTCGGTAGGACAGCAACGCTCGACTATTCTAAGTGCTTGATAGTAAAAAAATGCTTGATACAGTTACCTCCTCCTGTTTACAGGTTGGGGTAATGATGGTGAACAAGTGTGCAAAGTTTCAAAGCCATATGTCAATGGACTTTGAAAATATTTTAACTATTACAAAAACTTTAACGTAAATTCTAAGTCGAAAAAGGGGCATAATTCTGTCAAAATGCTTGGTAGAGTTACCTCCTCCTGTCTACAGGTTGGGGTCATGATGGTGAACAAGTGTGCAAAGTTTCAAAGCCATATGTCAATGGACTTTGAAAATATTTTAACTATTACAAAAACTTTAACGTAAATTCTAAGTCGAAAAAGGGGCATAATTCTGTCAAAACGCTTGATAGAGTTACCTCCTCCTGTCTACAGATTGGGGTCATGATGGTGAACAAGGTGCAAAGTTTCAAAGCCATATGTCAATGGACTTGGAAAATATTTGAACTATTACAAAAACTTTAACGTAAATTCTAAGTCGAAAAAAGGGCATAATTCTGTCAAAATGCTTGATAGAGTTACCTCCTCCTGTCTACAGATTGGGGTCATGATGGTGAACAAGTGTGCAAAGTTTCAAAGCCATATGTCAATGGACTTTGAAAATATTTTAACTATTACAAAAACTTTAACGTAAATTCTAAGTCGAAAAAGGGGCATAATTCTGTCAAAATGCTTGATAGAGTTACCTCCTCCTGTCTACAGATTGGGGTCATGATGGTGAACAAGTGTGCAAAGTTTCAAAGCCATATGTCAATGGACTTTGAAAATATTTGAACTATTACAAAAACTTTAACATAAGTGGTTACGCTGACGCCGACGCTCGGGTGACTGCAATAGCTCTACTTATTCTTATCGAATAGTCAAGCTAAAAATAGATTGAGACTCTTATTCAATGACTATGTGTGATTATTAAAAAATAATTGTTGCGTTTTGTTCTTTATGGTATACCTCGATTGAAATATCACTATTTTACTATTATAGTTAAAAGTTACACTGCCATGATGAGTATAAACTTGAATTACTTTTGTATGCGCAGCGTTCGCATAGTTGTTGCACGCCTTCCATGTATGTCTTTTTTCCCGCGCTTCAACAAAACAGACAAAAGTTGTACATGTATAAGGTTGTACTTTCTGTGAATTTTCCTATTCATATAATAAAATAATTATTGACTAGTGTGCCATTAAATATGATGTGGTATTCACCAGCAGAAAGTCATATTGACCTCGGTCAATATGTCATCTGCCGGTGAATATCACATCATATTCAATGGCATACTATTCAATAATTGTATAATATAAGACAACCCAATATAATGTAACAGAACATGTAATCAATGACATTGAACGGGAAATAACAGACAATGATATTGGACACGATATAACAGACAATAAGACTTATAACATGTTATAACAGAAAATGGTACTTAACATATTATGACAGACAATGATACTTGTCATGTTATAAGAGACAATGTGATTGGGACATGTTATAACAGACAATGAGACTGAGCATGATATAACAGACAATGTGATTGGACATATAATGACAGACAATGTGATTGAACAAGTTATATCAGACAATGTGATTGGACATGTGATAACAGACAATGTGATTGGACATGTTATAACAGACAATGTAATTGGACATGTGATAACAATGTAATTGGACATGTGATAACAATGTGATTGGACATGTGATAACAATGTAATTGGACATGTGATAACAATGTGATTGGACATGTGATAACAATGTAATTGAACATGTTATAACAGACAATGTGATTGAACAAGTTATAACAGACAATGTGATTGAACAAGTTATATCAGACAATGTGACTGAACATGTTATAACAGACAATGTAATTGGACATGTTATAACAGACAATGTGATTGAACAAGTTATATCAGACAATGTGACTGAACATGTTATAACAGACAATGTAATTGGACATGATATAACAGACAATGTGATTGAACATGTTATAACAGACAATGTGACTGAACATGTTATAACAGACAATGTGATTGAACATGTTATAACAGACAATGTGATTGGACATGTTATAACAGACAATGTAATTGGACATGTTATAACAGACAATGTAATTGGACATTTTATAACAGACAATGTGATTGGACATGTGATAACAGACAATGTGGTTGAACATGATATAACAGACAATGTGATTGAACATGTTATAACAGACAATGTGATTGAACATGTTATAACAATGTGATTGGACATGTGATAACAATGTGATTGAACATGATATAACAGACAATGTGATTGAACATGTTATAACAGACAATGATACTGAACAAGTAATAACAAGGCAGTTTGACAGACAGCGCAATTCCTTCTGCTGTGTTTTATAATTGTCACAGTGACACAAAAATGCCAACTTAACTATTGGCAACAACACAGCTGGAGCTTAGGCACACAGTTTGAGTTTGAACACAGTTTTAGCTTTCAAGAAAATCAAAATTAAATATAAGATGTTCAATTTTAAAAATAGCCTATGACAATAGCCTAAAACTATCACAGCTCCCACATAAGGTATACACATCTTCTCTATGTGGTGAAATAAGCATACACTTAACAGCAAATCTTGTAAAAGACATAAGTTATGACACAATGTATGGTGAATTGGACTGTTGAACTTACTGTATTAGTATCTGAGTATGAAGTTGTATCACAAGGTATTTTAATAGTGTTATGTACATCAGGGAAATATATATCCACCCAGTGACGGCAAACTAAAACAGAAAAAAACATACAGCATATTGAGCTAATTACCATGCTAATAAATATAGTTTTTCGTTCTCCATTGTTTGCTTGTTAATTTGTTGGGTTTTTTTACCCTGATTACAATACATTATATAATTGTGGTCATATCTTGCCGCTCAGTCCACCCAACTGACTTTACTGAATAACTAACCAGTCCTTGCCAATTTCTACGCAAGTGACTGACTATTTATCCAATATGATTTCTAAATCAACCAACAACCCATTGATTACAAATCTGATGCTCTCTTTATTGCACTAATCAGGTAAACAAGTCCAAATTTAGATACCTGTATTGTACATAACACTATTTTACAATCTCTATATTGTATACATATTTATTGATTGAAATAAATGCAGAAATATAAAGTATGAAAGATTGTGCCAATATAGATTGTTTACAACATGATTGACATGTTTATGTTAACATTTATAAAGATTTTTTTTGACAGGTTATATGACCAAGTATAAATGATTGTAATCTTATATAACCAAAGCAGCTAGACAAGTTATATTGCAAACAAACATTTATATATGGCCATATAACCTGTCAAAAAAAAAATTTATTACAAATTGACAATACAAGTTTAACAACATGATTTTTTTATCAAAATAGAAATTATATGCAGTTCATAAATTCACAAAAATTATGTATAAAGATATATAAACGTCATTGATTATCCAATGAAAACTGACGATACAAATGTGTAGACTGAAGTATTATATAAATGCAAACTAAAGTGAGATCATGACTGGAAAAAAATCTTTCACAAAATAATTAATAAAGAGTATAAACATGACTGGAAAGGTCAAACCTGAAGTTGATAGCTACAAGATTTTTATCATTACAATGAGAATTTAGTCTTTAATTCAGAATTATGTTCTTATGAGAGTTCATATACAAGATTAGTTTAAAGTAGTAACTGAAGGTTCTTAAACATATTGTTTGACCATTAATTATACAAAATGATTTGAATAGACTGTAGTCATAAAATATATGCTGTGATAATTAAATATCCACAACTAAGACCATCCTGCAATTAAGACCACTTTAATCTAGTCCCATTGGTGGTCTTAATTGAGGGCTTTCAATCTAATTCTGGATCATGAAAATATTGACATAAAGGACAGAAAATTATGTTGTTTTAAAAAATGGTCTTAATATCGGAATGGTCTTATTCCAGGGTGGTCTTAAGTAGGGATTCTACAAAGGGTTAAAAATGATGAAAACTAAATATGTAAGCCCATGCAATATCTAAGATAAATCATGTAATGCCCAGACTATTTTTGACATTGTTAACAAATCTTTAACCCTGAGCATATCTTGAAGGCACTTGTAGAAAAAATCGGGACATTCTACTCGCATAGTAGCCAGGAGTGCGATCTCTCCACCTGTTAAACTGCTGATTCCACACCTGTAACAACATATTGCAATGGTGTTAGAGTGTTACAACTTACAGGAAAACATATTATTAACTTCTCTTTTCTGTCCAATGACAAACATCCATTATAAGAGAAATATATATTAAAAGAAGTTACAATGGCTGTTGATATAGTCAGGTTGTTCTTGCTGAGGGTAAATTAACAGCTAAGTTTCTCCTATATAAGTTATTCAAGTGCACAATGTTCCCACCTGTGAGAGCCAGTGTTTGATCTTTTTTTTTTTTTTTTTTTTTTTGCAGCATATGACATATTGATTATAAATCAAAAAGCAAAAAGAACAATAGCTGTCTGTGAAACGGCAATCTTGACGGTGCATGACAGAAAAAACAAGAGCTGTCACAGGAGACAGCCAAGCTCGACTAATAAAATACTGGACGCAGTAAGGAGGACAAAACTATGAAAGAACAAGGGTGCAATAGTCACAAAATACGCCCGTTTACGAAAGCTTTAGATGGAGATGGGGGCATTATGGATAAGTGTTATCTAGCAAGCAAGTTTTTATTCTTGGCACTGTGTTGTTAAATGAACCTTAAAACAAATCAGTAGGGAAGATATGCACAGGATGTGTGACCTTGACCTTGGTCGCAGGGACCTGAATTTTATGCACGGCACTCAGCCTCACAATGATGAACATTTGTGCCAAATTATTTTGAAATCCCTCTATGCATGTAGAAGTTTTGCTCCAGACAAGCGTTTTTCTATGAGCTCTAACTGTGACCTTCACCTTTGACCTAGAGACTTGGTTCATGTGCAGGGCACTACGTCTCATGGTGGTGAACAATTCTATTAAGTAACATTAAAAATCCTCCATGCATGTAGAAAATATGCTCCGGACAACATCTGGATATTTAATCATCTCCAGTGACCTTGACCTTGCAAATATTAAGTTAATTAAGTTAAATGTGTCACACCTGTAGTCATGATAGTTACCATTTGTGCTACAATCCATCTATAAATGATGACTAAATGGTCCCTATACACATCTTCAAATTTTTATCTGAACTTTGACCTCTATGTGTAACCTTGACTTTGGTCGCAGGGATCTGAATTTTGTGTGCCACACTCAGCCTCACAATGGAGAACATTTGTGCCAAGTTATATTGAAATCCCCCCATGAATGTAGAAGTTTTGCTCCGGACAAGCGTTTTTCAATGAGCTCTAAGTGTGACCTTGACCTTTGACCTGGAGACCTGGATCATGCATGGAGCAATACATATCATGGTGGTGAACATTTCCATAAAGTATTATAAAAATTCTTCCATACATGTAGGAGATATGCTCCAGACAAAATCTGGATATTTCACCATCTTTAGTGACCTTGACCTTGCATATATTGACCTAAAGTACATGTGTCACAGCCGTAGTCATGATAATGACCATTTGTGTTACAATCCCTCAATAAATGATGATTAAATCGTCCCTATACACATCTTCATATTTTTATCTAAACTTTGACCTCTATGTGTGACCTTGACCTTGGCTGCAGGGACCTGAATTTTGTGCGCGACAATCCGCCTCACAATGGTGAACATTTGTGCCAAGTTATATTGAAATCTCTCTATGCATGTGGAAGTTTTGCTCCGGACAAGCGTTTTTCAATGAGCTCTAAGTGTGACCTTGACCTTTGACCTAGAGACCTAGTTCATGTGCGTGACATGGCTTCTCATAATGGTGAACATTTCTATGAAATTTCATTAAAATCCCTCCATGCGTGTAGGAGATATGCTCCGGACAAAATCTGGATATTTCATCATCTTTAGTGACCTTGACCTTGTATATATTGACCTAAATTATATGTATCACAGCCATAGTCTTGATAATGACCATTTGTGTTACAATCCCTCAATAAATGATGACTAAATGGTCCATATACACATCTTCATATTTTTATCTGAACTTTGACCTCTATGTGTGACCTTGACCTTGGCCGCAAGGACCTGAATCTTGCGCGCGACAGTCCGCCTCACAATGGTGAACATTTGTGCCAAGTAATATTGAAATCCCTCTATACATGTGGAAGTTTTGCTCCGGACAAGCATTTTTCAATGAGCTCTAAGTGTGACCTTGACCTTTGACCTAGAGACCTGGTTCTTGTGCGGGACACTGCTCCTCATAGTGGTGAACATTTCTATGAAGTTTCATTAAAATCCCTCCATACATGTACGAAATATGCTCCGGACAAAATTGGACGCCGCCCGCCCGCCAGGGGCGTTCCCATAATACGTCCCGTTTTTCAAACGGGCGTATAAAAATCAATTATGTATAATTATGTATTAAGTTATAGTAAAAAAATAACATTTGTTAACATAAATTCCAAGATCAAGAGAAATAATTCTAGAAAAAGTCATGCTAGAGTTATGAACCTTTTCACACAACATGTGTGTAATGATAAGAAATATATATTTGAAGTTTGAAGTAGATACCTTAAAAAGTAAAGAAGTTATAATATTTCTTAAAGAAAATCCTAAGTTCAAAGAGAGATAAATCTGTAAATATTGCTTCAAAAGTTATGAACATTGTCACATAAAATGTAATTGATGATAAGGAATAAGTATTTGAAGTTTGAGGTACCTTTAAAACTTAAAAAGTTATAGTACAAATAACATTTTTCTTGTAAAAAAAAATCTAGTTTATGGGGAGATAATTCTTGCAATATTGGTGCTAGAGTTATGAACCTTGTCACATAAGATGTGAATGATGATAAGGTACATATATTTGAAGTATGAAGTTGATCCCTTTAGAAATAAATAAGTTACAGTAAAAATAATATTTTTTAAGGAAAAGAGATAAATCTGAAAATATTGGTGCTAAAGTTATGAACCTCAAGACATAAGATGGAGATGTTGATAAGGTACATATATTTGAAGTATGAGGTTGATCCCTTAAGAAATAAAGAAGTAACAGTAAAAAATAGTATTTTTTAAGGAAAATTCTAAGTTCAAGGGGAGATAAATCTGAAAATATTGGTGCTAGAGTTATGAACCTTGTCACATAAAATGGGGATGATGATAAGGTACATATATTTGAAGTATTGAGGTTGATCCCTTCAGAAATAAAGAAGAAACAGTAAACAAGAGGGCCATGATGGCCCTGAGGTCGCTCACCTGTATATAGGCCCCCCCCCAACACCCCCCACCCCCCAATGTTGCAGGGCCAATTTAACCCAAGGGCTTTTATTTGCATAAACTTGGTAGACACGTATAAGAAGATGTTTCATGCTAAACATCTAAGCTCTAGCTCATTGGGCTTTTTAAAAGAAGATTTTTTTTAAAGTTTTTACTATACACATACAGTTAAAAACAATGAAACAATGACACCCCTGGGGCCGGGCCAGGGCTTTTATTTGAACAAACTTTGTAGACACTTACTAGAAGATGCTTCATGCTTAATATCTAAACTCTAGCTATTTGGGCTTTCATCAAAGAAGATTTTAAGTTTTTGCTATACACATATAAAGAAAATCAATGACCCCCGGGGCGGGGCCAATTTTGACCCCAGGTCTTTTATTTGAACAAACTTTGTAGACACTCACTAAAAGATGTTTCATGCTTAATATCTTAACTCTAGCTATTTGGGTTTTTTCAAAGAAGATTTTTTAAGTTTTTGCTATACACATATAAGGAAAATCAATGACCCCCGGGGCGGGGCCAATTTTGACCTCAGGTCTTTTATTTGAACAAACTTTGTAGACACTCACTAAAAGATGTTTCATGCTTAATATCTTAACTCTAGCTATTTGGGTTTTTTCAAAGAAGATTTTTTAAGTTTTTGCTATACACATATAAGGAAAATCAATGACCCCCGGGGCTGTGCCAATTTTGACCCCAGGGCTTTTATTTGAACAAACTTGGTAGACACCTATTAGAACATGTTTGATGCTAAATATCTATGCCATAGCTCTTTGAGTTCTTTAAAAGAAGATTTTTAAGTTTTTACTATATGCATATAGGGAAAATCAATGACCCCCCGGGGCGGGGCCAATTTTGACCCCAGGGCTTTTATTTGAACAAACTTGGTAGACAATTATTAGAACATGTTTCATGCTAAATATCTTAGCTCTAACTCTTTTGGTTCCTTAAAAGAAGATTTTTTAAGTTTTTACTATATGCATATAGGGAAAAATCAATGACCCCCGGGGCGGGGCCAATTTTGACCCGAGGGCTTTTATTTGAACAAACTTGGTAGACACCTATTAGAACATGTTTGATGCTCAATATCTTAGCCATAGCTCTTTGAGTTCTTTAAAAGAAGATTTTTTAAGTTTTTACTATATGCATAAAGGAAATCAATAACCCCCCGGGGCGGGGCCAATTTTGACCCCAGGGCTTTTATTTGAACAAACTTGGTAGACACCCATTAGAACATATTTCATGCTAAATATCTTAGCTCTAGCTCTTTGGGTTCTTTAAAAGAAGATTTTTTAAGTTTTTACTATATGCATATAGGGAAAAGCAATGACCCCCCGGGGCGGGGCCAATTTTGACCCCAGGGCTTTTAGTTGAACAAACTTGGTAGACACTCACTAGAAGATGTTTCATGCCAAATATCTAAGCTCTAGCTCTTATGGTTTTTTAAAAGAAGATATTTAAAGTTTTTTCTTTTGGTTGCCATGGCAACCAGAGTTCTGCATGGAATTAAATTCTTTGAACAATTTTTAAAGGTGACCACCGAAGGAACATTCCTGTGAAGTTTGGATGAAATTGGCTTAGTGGTTTATGAGGAGATGTCATTTAAAGTAAAAGTTTACGGACGGACGACGGACGGACGACGGACGGACGACGGACGAAAAGCGATCACAAAAGCTCACCCTGTCACTTTGTGACAGGTGAGCTAAAAATAGTATTTTTTAAGGAAAATTCTAAGTTCAAGGGGAGATAAATCTGAAAATATTGGTGCTAGAGTTATGAACCTTGTCACATAAGATGTGGTTAATGATAAGGAGCATATATTTGAAGTTTGAAGTTGATACCTTAAGAAATGGCAAAGATATAGTGAAAAATATTTTACTGCACAAAAACTTTAATCTGAAATCTAGACGCGGACGCCGACGCCGGGGCGAGTAGGACAGCTCTCCATATACTTCGTATAGTCGAGCTAAAAAGGCATAACTCTAAAAAGGTGACTCAGATATATTGGACCTGTAATCAGTAATTTCCTCCCTTTTGCACTCATAAATTTTCTATTCTTAGCTAAGCTTAAGTATGACATGACTCAGGTGCTTAAAACAACTGCCAAACGAAACAGTTCTCAGACTGCATTAATATTAAATTATTGTAAAATACATGTATTATTGGAATTTAAAACGTGTACCCATTTTAATGTACTTACTTCTCCAGCCCATTCTTGACAATCCATTTTTTAACATCGTCTACCGTCCACTTTCTCACATTATCAATGGTTGTCTTAGAAACTGATATCCTAGCAACTGTATTACTCGCAGAAGAAGCTGTGTCTGCATAATCTACAGAATGGGCACCTGCTGCCTCCGTCACCTACAAGAATAATTGACATCCTCTACAGAATAGCTTTTGGAAGCATATTAACCTCTTAACAAAAGTTTGTCTCAATGTAAGATTTCACAATAAATTTAACCACTCCAGGGAAAAAAACATCTCAGCAATAGCTTTTTGTTTCCCAAAGGGTGTTGCACTGCAGGGGTTGTAGTATAATATTACAACATGAATGACAACAAACATTTAAGAAATAATATATCCCTAACAGAGATTTTATCAATCTAAAATCACTGCTTGGGATATATAGTTTTGATTCTAACGCATCAACAATTAAGGGCTGTCATACCTGATATCAAGTTTAATTGTGCGTGATATGATTCCATACTTATTTTCAGCATGTTTACTTTTTTCAATGGTTTTGTCACATGTCTAAATATAGATTGTCAACAGTGATTTTATTACATATTTACACACACTTTCGTTCTTTCTATGTTCAATAGGGAAAACTGCTGGTCCTATTAGAATTAGTTTCTATGTTAAATAGGGAAAACTGCTGGTCCTATTATAATTAGTTTCTATGTTCAATAGGGAAAACTGCTGGTCCTATTAGAATTAGTCATAATAATCTTTGATATCTAGTGAAATAAATTATTTGTCAAAAGTGTTTTTATATAGGTAAGGGAAGAGGCTGTTAATTTAAGGGAAATTTTTTTTTCAATATTCCATTGCATGTTCATTTAGTTTATACAAATTTATTTAATTTGTGTCGGAAGCTATAAGCTTATTGAAACACTCTCGAATCCGTTCCCTGAACCAAGCAGTACTTAGCAATGAATGTAAAGTTTCTTGCTCAAGAAAACAACAGTTGCCCCTGACAGGGTTTGAACATATGCAGTCAGCAATCCTTAAATGACTATTCAAAGACGTTAACCACTCTGCCACACCGCCACTTAATTTAAATATTGTAATTTTTTTCAGACACATAATTGCATGTATGTTACTATTGGAATTCATCATAATTTTTGATAAAATGTTTGTAAATTCATCATACATTTTTTGTTTTTATAATTTATATACAAGATTGATGTAGATTTATCAATTAATGTTCAGTTCTCTTTAAATAAAGGAATTCACAGTGCTGTATTTAGATTGTATGGACGTGTAAACGGCCATGTATAACAGCTGTTTACAAAATAACCACCATATACCCTTACAGTCATTCATACTTGATCATACAACCTGTAAAAACTATTTATGTCTTAAAACATTATAATACTGCATTCATAATTAGATTATCAAGAGGTTTATGTTATTAGTTATAAATTTTTTTTGACAGGTTATATGGCACTCTGTAAACAGCTGTTTGGAAATATAACCCAAGCCACTAGGCGGGTGTTATATAACAAACAACTGTTTATATAGTCATTTAACCTGTCATGAATATTTGTAACAAATTTATAAAACAGAAAACTTCCTTTTTTTTTTAAAGTGAGATTTCTTAGACAATTGACAGTAAGCAGTATATAAAACTATATAAACGTTACGAAATTTAATGAAACATTTTATATACACTGCTGCTGTCATTCATAAACAAGGGCAGTCTGAAGGACAGCTAAATACGTTTCCGCAGTGAACATAAATGTGTACTTCTTGGACCTTTTACCAACCATGACCTTGATGTTGTGCCATGTATATCATAAACACATAGTCCTCATGATAGTGTTTATTTGTGCCAAGTTATTTAAAAATCTTCCATAAAGTCAAATCGTTATGATCGAGAACAAATAACTTTGACCTTTGGGGTGGCAACCTGGATGTTAAGCTGTGCAGATTGTGTCATGGTGGGCATCATTTGTGCCAAGTAATTTAAAACCTTTAAATTGTCAATAAGTTATAAACTGGACATCAAAATTAGATGTTTTTACATTGGACCTTTGAGTTTGACGATTGGTCACCTAATGGTGATCATTTCTACACTTTCTTAAAAACATTGCAGCGGTATAAATGTTATGGACAGACACAAAATGTAGACTTTTAACACGTGACCTTTAGTGTGGCCTTGATCATGGTGGTAGCAACCCAATTATTGTGCTGTGCATTTCGTCTCATAATGGTGAACATTTTTGTCAAGTCATTCAAAAAAATTTCTGCGGTTTAAAAGAACATTTTTGACAAGTCATTCAAAAGATTTTCTGCGGTTTAAAAGTTATTAAGTGGAAATGAAATGTAGACCTTCTAACACTTGACCTTTAAGTGTGACCTTGACCTTGGGGGTAGCAACCAAATAATGGCGCTCTGCACATGTTCTTATAATGGCGATCAATTGTGTCATGTTATTTTTTAAAAATTTCAGTGGTTAAAATTATGGAGTGGACACAAAATGTAGACTTTTTATTATGAAATGGAAAGTTTTTTACATTTGACTTTTAAGTGTGACCTTGACCTTAGGGGAAGCAATCCAATTATTGCGTTCTGCATATAGTCTCTTTATGGTGATCACTTGTGCCAAGTTATTTCAAAATTTGTTCACAGTTTAAAGGTTATGGAGCAGACACGAAGGTGTTACAGACTGACAGACGGAAGGACAGAATGGATGGACTAACAGACAGAGGCCATTCCTGTAATCCCCTTTCCGCTATGCCGAAGGGGATCAATAAATCACATTATTATTTTTCCTCTAAAAAAAGTAAGTTTGTTGTTTATAAATTCGTCTAGCAGCTCAAGTTATACCTACAAACCACCATTTTTTTAAGACAATGTAACCTGAGAAAAATCTCTAAAACTAACGATACAGACTAACACATAACTACACATGTGCCAATGCCACGGACACAATTGTCCAAACATTCAATTGATTTGTCAGTCTACCAACAGAGTGACAGTAGGATGTACAAGGGACCTATAAATCCTAGAAACTTACAGAAGCAACCTGAGGTTTAATTATCTCCCCTGAATCAGGAATATCTCCTGAACCTCCGAGTACACCATCTATCTCCCTTAGCAAGGCCTTCATTTTGTCTTCAAATGGATACTTTGGACTGAACTCAAAGAACAACTTGGCGCCCACTATAAAACCGAGCCACCCATCAGGAGTATACCCTCTCTCCATCTTTAATGGAATAACCTTTTTACGTAGTTGAAATGCATATTCTGCCTCTGAAATGAAAAAGAAACAAAACATTCCGTACATCAGCGTGCTTGACTATCCTCAGTGAATGATAGTAAAAGAGCCTATGTTGAATTCTAGTTAAAAAAGGCCATAAATCTATGCTATCAAATCCATTCCTGAGTATGGCTGACATTGACTCCTTTCAGCACAAGAATGTGTAAGTTTCAACCTCTCCCTTCAAGTTTCAGTAGTTGGAGATCAAAAACTTGGCTCAATAAACATAAAATTCCATAGTAAGAGCTAAAACGCAAATCAGAAGAGATAATGCACCGTCCAAAATAACAATATAGTGTGGTGTTATCATAATTCCATAGCAGTAGCATTAGCTTCATACTTTGGCCAATAGAAAAATAGCCGGTTTAAAATAGTTGTAAAACATGCAATAACTAACCTGCCCTCAAGCAGGACTAGTTGTAACTTGTTGCATAACACATGAGGAAGCACATCAGCACCTTCCACAGCCCTGCCAAATGCTGAAAGTGGATCTCCCATCTGTCATATCGCATCCAAACCTAATTAACTGAAGCAGCATTCTGTCCAAAACATTACTGCAAACCGCTTTGCTAAAACCACCTCCAAAAAATATCACCCCTGTAAATAAGGCAACTCTTGACCAACCATCATGATCCTAAATAAAGAGGTTACCCGTCCCTCAAGCGGACTTTTTTTTACTTTTATCTAGAGGCAAACAAATGCAAACAAATAAACAGTTTAAACAAACTGTAAAGTAAAAAGTTAAGTTTTCCTTTTACAGCAGGGGCAACAGCAACGCCGACATGACTATAACAATACCTTTACATTTTTTACAAAAAATGCTGAGCTAAAAAAACAATCTTACATAGATAAAGGCCCTGTTACTGTTAGAAAAAAAACATGTAACTCCTAATAAGGACAGTTAGTCTTGATGGCATAGAAAGGGGACTTTTTCTTGATTATATATTAAGACACTAAGGCTTGATAACAAAGTGAGGATGGTAGAGTGAGGACACTAAGTCTTGATGGAATATTGAGGACATTTAGTGTTGATGACATAATAAGGGCACTGAAATAGTGAGAACACTTACTGTTGATGGCATAGCAAGGACACATAGTCTTGATGACATAGAGGGGACACTTAGTGTTTATGACATAGTGAGGACACATAGTCTTGATGACATAGAGGGGACACTTAGTGTTGATGACATAGAGGGGACACTTAGTGTTGATGACATAGTGAGGACACATAGTGTTGATAGCATAGTGAGGACACTTAGTGTTGATGACATAGTGAGGACACTTAGTGTTGATGACATAGTGAGGACACACTTAGCTGTGAGACATAGTGAAGGACACTTAGTGTGATCGGACATAGTGAGGACACATAGTCTTTGATTAACATAGGGGGACACTTAGTGTTGATGACATAGTGAGAGGACATTAGTGTTGAATGACATAGAGGAGAACACTTAGTTGTTGATGAACAAGTGAGGACAAAATAGTCTGATGACATAGAGGGACACTTAGTGTTGATGACATAGTGAGCGACACATAGTCTTATGGACATAGAGGGGAACACTTAGTGTTGATGACATAGAGGGGACACAAGTTGTTGATGACATAGTGAGGACAAATAGTCTTGATGACAATAGAGGACACTAGTGTTGATGACATTAGAGGGGACACTTAGTGTTGATGACATAGAGGGACACTTAGTGTGAATGACATAGAAGGGGACAAAATATGTCTTGATGACAAGGTGAGGCACACTTAGTGTTGATGACATAGAGGACACACTGTAGTGTTGATGACATAGAGGGAAACAAATAGTCGCTGATGAACCATAGTGACGGACACATATGTCTGAATGACAATAGTGAGACACTGTAGTGTGATGACATAGTGAGGACACTTAGTGTGATGCATAGTGAGGACACTCATGGATGACATAGTGAGGACCACTTAGTGTTGATGAAACAATAGTGAGGGACCACTTAAGTCTTGATGACAAGAGGGACACTAAGTGGTTGAATGACATAGTGAGGACACTATGTGTTGACAATGAACATAGTGAGACACTTAGTGTTGATGACCAAAGTGAGGACACTTAGTGTTGATGACATAGTGAGGACACATAGTCTTGACACTTGATGTTGATGACATAGTGAGGACACTTAGTGTTGATGACATAGTGAGGACACTTAGTCTTGACACTTGATGTTGATGACATAGTGAGGACACTTAGTCTTGACACTTGATGTTGATGACATAGTACATTTAAGTCTTTATACAAGTGAGGACACTTTTTTTTGGGATGACATATCGGGAAACAAAAATTGTTTTTGATACATATTTTGGGTAAAAATTTAATTTGAAGGCAATAGAAAAAAGACACCTTTTCAAAATATATTTGGTAAAATTGAGCTATAAGGGGCAAAAGGGAACCCTTTTCCAAACTTTTTCCCTGGTTTTTCAAGTTTTTTTGATTATTTTGGCAAATTGAAATTCCACACCATACTTTTGAAATTGAAATTTTGTAAGCATCCCTTTATACCCCCTTTTTTTGGGATGTTTTTCTCGTACTTTTTTAAGAAACCTGCGGGTCTGCCCTTTGGTAAAAATTCATACATGACCTCAATATACCTTCTCCTTTTCCCGATGTGGCGAATTTCTACCGAAAAAATTTCTGCCCTTTTATTTTTGTTACCCAAACTGTTCCCCCTTTTTCAAAATAAGGGCAATGTTAAATTTTACCCGCTGAATTGGGAAGGGGGACTTCCCAGTTTTTAAATTTTGGGGAACAGCCCTTTTTCCCCACCCATTTTTTAAAATATTTCAATTTTTAAATTAAAAAAAAACACATAAAACTGAGATTCAATTTTTAAAAATTTGGGTCATTTTTGCGGAATTGCGGGCGGGGGCCAGCTCTATACTTGTGGCAAAGGCTTATCACTTACGTTTCCAGAAAGATTAAAACTTAGAGTTTATATGGTTTTACTTATTTATTTTAATAAATAAAGCCTTAGGCAAAATATAAGCTCTGTTTCAGATTCTGGTTCAGTGTTATGTTATATAGAATATATATAAATGGTTAAATGTTCTAGTGGAATAAACATAAACCAAATACTTTCAATCTAGCTAATGTGTGGGAAAGTAAAACAATATGTTTCGAAAAGTAAAAAACAATTCAATGTTCATCCTGAAATATATTCTTGTTCTAAAAGCATTTGAGACGCGTCATTACAAGTAAGAAACTGATACAACAGCATTTGGATCCAATCAGACTGCGCCGAGCACAGGCTGGTCTGGATTCCATGCTGGTCGCAAACTCACATGTTGGGTTTGTCGTGACACGGCTCAAATATGTTCATTGTGATAGAAAATATTATGTCTTTGGGTTTTACATAGCGGCTAACATAGTAAAGTTAATATTTCAATATTCCCCAGCTTCACTTGTGGTTTCAGGCACAAAGTGGACACCTGAATAAACCATCAACTTTCTGTAAGCTAACTGGAAAGTCCCCTCATGAAAGAATCGAAAGTCTAAATGCTATGACATTTGGTTTTTATTTCATACAGTTATTATGTTAACTTTTTGTACAATATATTTTTCTTTTTTGGTTTAGTGTAACACCAACACCTTGTATAAATCATACAACAACATCCCAGCTTTCCTGGTGGAGGAGGACCTCAGGTGTCCCTCTGTACCTGAGTCTCACCACTGGCATGCAAAGTTAGCTGGGAACCTTTCTCACATGAAAAATTCCAAAGTCTTTGGCAGGATGCCAACCAACAGCAGTGAGAGACATGTCATTGGAAATCCACAACCTTTACTAAATTACTACTCTGTTATAGAATCTCCAACCTCACATAAACTTATCACATTTTTGACAGGTGAGAGGGTGTTTTTTCACTGTAATGTCTTATTTTAGAAAATATCAGTACTGCAGCTCACACACAGTTATGTTAATAAGATTCTGTCCCTCTTAATGTTAAGCAGTAGTTTTAAGTTGTTAGTTTTATAAAAAAAAATATATATATATTTTATAAGCTAACTTTTACACAAACATTTATACAAAGCGTGCAAGATCAGCAAAAGTGTGAGATAAAAGAAAAACAAAGCTTGTGCCTATTGCATACAAGGTCTATCTTCTACCAGACATTATTAATTAATTAATATTATAGTTAACCCCTAACCTGCTGAATTTCTTAAATGGACTTGTCCAGTGTTTTTATTTTGGCTACGTCCATAACTAATTTTGGGGGTATCGGGATGAAAAATTAAAATCTCATTAGCCAACAGAATACAGCCTGGTCGGACTAAACCTAATTATAAACAGGCCGGCCTGGCTGAATACTGTTGGCAAAGGCTAATCACTTTAAATTTAAGCAGATTAAGAGCATAAGGGTGTAAACTTAAAGTGGCAATATCTACTAAATCTTGATAACTTCATATTGAAAGAATAAATTTTGTAAATTTCTGATTTCTAAAGAAGATGGCAGTCAAGTAGACTTCATTGTTAAACCTGTCAAAAAACGTAGGGATGCTGCCCCCTTCTGTTTGGGGGTTTGAAGGGGGCGGAGTCCCCCTCATCGCCAAGAAAATTTTGGACTTGTGAGAGGCTTAAAATGACCCCAGGTCGATCATAAGGTAACATGTAACCAACGCTGAAAAGCCTTTGACTCTATCTCAATCCCTTGAGAAGTTGCAGCACTTGAAATAAATTTTATGGAAAAAATTGAGGCAAAATAGTGCATTTTTTGGCAAATTTGAGATGCTCCCCTCATTGCCATGGTAAACAGTAAAATTTAAGACTGAGCATGTCGTTACAAATGCAATGGTCCAGTCAACATTTGTGCCAAGTTTGATTAGTATTGAAGCATTTTTCATAGTTTCATAGCAGTTTGAACTTGTAAGAGGAGGCTTTTCAGTGAAAATGGCCATTTTTCACAATATGCTCACGGGGGAAAGGGGTAAAGGATGTTTAATTTTAACGCACATAAATAGAAATTATTTCTGCTTTTTCTCTCTCCAGATAAGATCATGACAATATGAACCAAGAGGGCCATGATGGCCCTGAGTCGCTCACCAGAAACAACTGCTTTTTCAGTGTTGGAAATTATCCATTGTCAATATTATCTAATATTAATTTGAGCATAGACTATGTTTAAACAAAAAATTTCAGAAATGCCATGACCTGGCGCATTTAAACTTTAGCTTAAACAGGGCCAATCAAATTAATATGAGCAAACTTGATAAAAGACTACCTAAGAATGCTACAGACAAAGTTTGGTTATTATCCATCAATTAGTTTTGTAGAAAATAATAGACGTTTAAAGGTATTTCTATTTTTTAGCTTTAGCGACCCCTAAAAGGGGCCAATCAAATTAATATGAGCAACTTGATAAAAGACTACCAAAGCATGTTACAGACAAAGTTTGGTGATCATCCATCAATTAGTTCTGTAGTAGAAGATAATTAACGGGTTTTCTGTTTTTACCCCTACAGACCCCTATAAGGGGCCAATCAAATTAATATGAGCAAACTTAATAAAAGACTGCCTAAGAATGCTACAAAGTTTAATGATCATCCATCAATTAGTTTTGTAGCATTAGAGGCTTAAAGGTATTTCTATTTTAAACTTTAGCGGCCCTAAAAGGGGCCAATCAAATTAATATGAGCAAACTCGATAAAAGACTACCCAAGAATGCTACAAAGTTTGGTGATTATCCATCAATTAGTTCTGTTGTGGAAGATGTATAAAGGTTTTTCATTTTTTAGTTCTGTTGACCCCTAAAAGGGGCCATTTGAAATGACATGAGCAAATTCAAGTGTGACTGTCACAAGGATGCTACAGCCCAAATATGAAGTAAATCTGCCAAGCAGTTTCAGAGAAGAAGACTATTGTTGATGCATGAGGACGGACGCTGGAGCATCCCCCTTTGATACTTTTGATACTTATAGCTCACCCTGAATCTTCTGTTCTGGTGAGCTAACAATGTGACAGTACAATTTTTTGTGCGGCACTACACACTTTAGTATGAATAACTTCGGTCCGTGTTTTTTTTGTTTTTTTTCTGAGCACTTTTCTGATGTGTTACAGTGTATAAAGCAAGGTGTACAATACAAATTTCTAAATTGGAGGGAAAAAGAACATCTTATACATTGAGCATTTTACCTGTTTCATAAGATTTTCCTGGTGCAAAAGATATAAACAATTCTTATTATTCTCACATTGATGTTAAAATAACAAAAATGTTGTGGAAATATGATATTAACTGACTAAAAAAAATTAAAATGTTCTGGAAAAAAATGAATTTTAATGGACAGTTATATTACAGATTGATACTTTCACTGTGAAATAATCAAAATATAATTTCACTGTGGAAAAGTTAAAAGTTATATTTGAATGAGAATGAAAATATTCTAGTTAAAAAAATAAATGATGTTTTGTCCATAGTAAAATGTATATTTTGCATGAAAGCATATAAATATTTGTAAGCATCATGTTACATTGTAACCAGTTTTGAGTCAATTTTAGAGACTTAATTTTTCAATATTTAAATTGTAACTTCATGATTTGATAACTAAATGAAGGACAGCTATGACAAAAGAGCTGTCAGTAGGACAGCAACGCTCGACTATTCTTAGTGCTTGATAGTAAAAAAATGCTTGATACAGTTACCTCCTCCTGTTTACAGGTTGGGGTCATGATGGTGAACAAGTGTGCAAAGTTTCAAAGCCATATGTCAATGGACTTTGAAAATATTTGAACTATTACAAAAACTTTAACATAAATTCTAAGTCAAAAAAGGGGCATAATTCTGTCAAAATGCTTGATAGAGTTACCTCCTCCTGTCTACAGGTTGGGGTCATGATGGTGAACAAGTGTGCAAAGTTTCAAAGCCATATGTCAATGGACTTTGAAAATATTTGAACTATTACAAAAACTTTAACATAAGTGGTTACGCCGACACCGACGCTCGGGTGACTGCAATAGCTCTACTTATTCTTATCGAATAGTCGAGCTAAAAATTACTTCAAGCCATCAAATAAATACATGCTGTGTTAAAGGCACATCAAGCCTCAGAAATAAATATTGGCTCTTTCTGTAGAAAGGGCATACTTGTACTTTATTATGTTGTAATAATTGATTTAGAACATTTTAGATGCTCATCACAAGAAGATAATAGCATGGAATGTTAAATAAGTTTTGATAAAGGTAGCAAACTGCAAACAAAGTGGTCTTTGGACTTCTATACAAAATACTATATTTTTCTGTATGCTTTTGCCAAAACCCAAAGGATGCAAAATATGACAACGTCATTTTGTCAATAAGTAACATATATAAAGTCATATATCAAACAGGAAATCAAATTTTGAAATATGAAAATGTTACCATTTTTTAGGCTTAATGTGCCTTTAAGTTTGGTTTATAGATTCAAACAGAGAACGGGGGCTTTCAACAACATGAATAGCTTAAAAACTTTCACCCATGCATTAAAAATATTAAAAATTTTGCCGTCATATACCAACATTTAAATCACCCTCTTGGCATAGTTACAACTATTTACTTGCCAGTGTTTAATGCATTACTATAAGCTAAAACATAAAAACATAAATATACCTATTTTCTTGTATTTTTCAACAACTGTTTTCTTTAATGCATCTCTGAGTGTCCATAATGCACCATTGCATGCTTTCTTGATTTTCTCATTTTCCGAGGATTTCAAATCTACTAGTAAATCAACAACCCCGAGCTCCGGTTTTCCGGTAATAAGTGACTGGTTATCTTCGTCAAAACACAGCGCCCATAGCGCAGAAACACTCTCTACAAAAGTAAAAGTTGTGATTTATATTTCAAATAACAACATATTTATATCATATATAAATTTGTTAAAATCAGTGGCGTTATTGAAGTTAAGGCCTTTATAATTGTTGTTGTTTTTTTTTGGTTTGATTTAACATCAAATAGGTCATATGGCTTTCCAGCTTCACTGGTGAAGGAAGACCCGGGCAGGTGCCCGTCTGTAAATAACTTCAAAGTCACAAGTCACAAACAGGCACTTAAATAGAACCACAGACGTTCTGTAAGCTTTCTCACATGAGGATTCCAAAGATGCTGGAGTGGTTTGAACCTACAGTGGTGAGAGGCCAGTCTTTAAAGTTGTGACTAAAGACAGGAATAAAATCAGACTCGTAGAATGATTGTGATGACTCCATGACCAAGTGATTAAGTCAATAACTACCATTCACTACCCTCTCAACCCCAAAAGGAGTTTTAATTCTTTTTTTTTTTTAGAAAGCTATAGAGCTGACCATCTTGTGCTTAAATGACCTAAACCAAAGAAAGTTTAATAAGTGAATGCTTGTGGCTTTTGACAGGGGAGGTTATTACAGTCAAATGTTAAGACTACATTTAAAATGCAAACTGAACTGACTTGTGTAAATATACAAGCTTAGCTTAGTCGGTAGAGCTGTAGAATGGTGTTCAAATGGTCCTGGGTTGAGACGAGTCTGGGTCCACTATTTTCTCACCATAAATTTTGTCTCACCCTGTGACACATGTAACAGGACTAGTAAAGTGAGCTAAGGTGAACTTTATGCACTGTAAAAAAATTCAGAGGCAAGGTCCATGTAGGTCTATGAAATGACAGTAAATGTAAGATTCTCTTTATCACATTATAATAAATCCAGACAAGGCCATAAATTTGTGAGATTTATGTTTGACAGGACTTTTATTTTAAACATGTGAAGATGCAAAGAAAAATTAAAGGTTATACAAAGTCATGTACAGTTTTTGTCCGATTCAAACCTTTATAATGGCTTAGAGCTACTATCCTAGACATTGTAGTTTTGAGCCCTATTTTAAATAAAATGTAATCAAAAGATAAAATTTCACCACAGACTTGTATATATATATATGGGACAAGATGATTAATACATGCCTTGTTAGACAAAAGTAAACCATCTAAGTAAAGTATTTGAGATGTTTATCCTACTTTAATTTTAATCGGTTGCAATGTTTTACTTTGTGTTATATCTGTATAAAATAAAACAAGCTACAGTTATGTCATGGAAAATGCACACTTTACTCCTATGCATATTTTATACCTGTAAACAAATGTGTTGATTTTTTATAGACCCATTTTGTGTGGGAGAGTAGCTATGTTATCATGACATTTCGTTGCCTTGATCTTTTTGAAGGTCTCGTTGACTTTGAGATAATGAGAGTCGACTGTATTACACAGAAAACAAATAAATTCATAGGATAACAAAATTTCAAAACTCTTTACCATTCTTTTCTGCCTGTTCAAAAACTTACCAAATTGTTCACCATCATCGCCAATCTTGGCCATCTCCACAAGTAATTCAAGAGCTCCAAGATCTACCAGAGTCTTCATATTAGCATCATTTCTTGCCAGTAACTTGACAGCTGGTATAGAAATGTAACATGGAACCATAACAATTGCTGTTATATTTAGATTTTGTTATTTTTTTAGTCACAATATTTAATGAAATAAGACAGCTTTTTTCAAACCCCTGACTAGAATATATCTTCCCCACATCACTTTCACTTTTACCTTTAATGAATTTTTACTACTTTTTTTTTCTTACATTTGTTAAAACTTGCTATAATAGTGCTCTTATTATTCTTTAATGCAACAAAACATCATTAAATTTTAATAAGAGTAAAAATACAATACAAAGTCTGCACAACAAATTGTAGAAAAATTCCTTTATACTAGTAGCTACCTTGACCATACACACATATTTCATGATTCTATGGGCTGCAAAAAGCTAGTTATATTATCTTCACAATTGTTTGGGAATTTTCATTAATAGAATCAAAATTTCCAATAGTTTTGTCAATTTGGAAAAGACCTATATTGGTAAATATTCTATGCAATAAAATCACAGAACACTACAGTAAATACCCAGACAACCAGATCTTCACTTAAACCGAATCCCTAGTAAACCAGACTTTTTGAAAGGTCTCGAATTCTTTCCTTCTTCTTACATTGTATAAAAATCTTCGTTAAACCATATAAAAAGCCTACTTAAGATTATGCACAAAAATTCAAAAAGCCTACTTAAGATGATGCACAGAAATTCAACAAGAGGGCCATGATGGCCCTGAGGTCGCTCACCTGTATATAGCCCCCCCCCCCCACACCCATAAGAAGATGTTTCATGCTAAACATCTAAGCTCTAGCTCATTGGGCTTTTAAAAGAAGATTTTTTAAAGTTTTTACTATACACATAATTATAGTTAAAAACAATGACACCCCTTGGGCGGGGCCAGTTTTGACCCCAGGGCTTTTATTTGAACAAACTTTGTTGACACTAACTAGAAGATGTGTCATGCTTAATATCTAAACTCTAGCTATTTGGGTTTATTCAAAGAAGATTTTAAGTTTTTGCTATACACATATAAGGAAAATCAATGACCCCCGGGGCGGGCCAATTTTGACCCCAGGGCTTTTATTTGAACAAACTTGGTAGACACCTATTAGAACATGTTTGATGCTAAATATCTTAGCTCTAGCTCTTTGAGTTCTTTAAAAGAAGATTTTTAAGTTTTTACTATGTGAATATAAGGAAAATCAATGACCCCCTGGGGCGGGGCCAATTTTGACCCGAAGGCTTTTATTTGAACAAACTTGGTAGACACCCATAAGAAGATGTTTCATGCTAATTATCTAAGCTCTAGCTCATTGGGCTTTTTAAAAGAAGATTTTTTTAAGTTTTTACTATACACATATAGTTAAAAACAATGACACCCCTGGGGCAGGGCCAGTTTTGACCCCAGGGCTTTTATTTGAACAAACTTTGTAGACACTTACTAGAAGATGTTTCATGCTTAATATCTAAACTCTAGGTATTTGGGTTATTTCAAAGAAGATTTTTTTAAGTTTTTGCTATACACATATAAGGAAAATCAATGACCCCCGGGGCGGGGCCAATTTTGACCCCAGGTCTTTTATTTGAACAAACTTTGTAGACACTCACTAGAAGATGTTTCATGCTTAATATCTTAACTCTAGCTATTTGGGATTTTTCAAAGAAGATTTTTTAAGTTTTTGCTATACACATATAAGGAAAATCAATGACCCCCGGATCGGGCCAATTTTGACCCCAGGGCTTTTATTTGAACAAACTTGGTAGACACCTATTAGAATATGTTTCATGCTAAATATCTTAGCTCTAGCTCTTAGTGTTTTTTAAAAGAAGATTTTTAAGTTTTTACTTTATAAATAAAGGGAAAATCAATGACCCTTTGGCAGCGCATATTTTGACCCCAGGGCTTTTATTTAAACAAACTTGGTAGACACCCAATAGAAGATGTTTCATGCTTAATATCTAAGCTCTAGCTCTTAGGGTTTTTTAAAAGAAGATTTTTAAAGTTTTTTCTTTCGGTTGCCATGGCAACCAGAGTTCTGCATGGAATTAAATTCTCTGAACAATTTTTAAAGGATACCACCAAAGGAACATTCCTGTGAAGTTTGGATGAAATTGGCCTCGTGGTTTATGAGGAGATGTCATTTAAAGTAAAAGTTTACGGACGATGGACGGACGACGGACGGACTACGGACGCCGGACGAAAAGCGATCACAAAAGCTCACCCTGTCACTTTGTGACAGGTGAGCTAAAAAGCCTACTGAAGATAATGCACAAAAATTCAAGAGAATTTATCAATTGTTTACAGAAATTTTTCCTTGCATAAAAAAAGAACTTACTGAAAACAGATTCTTGACAGGACCATCCTTTACATCTTCGCATTTTATCTTTCATCCCTTTCCTGATACAGTCTAACAATATCATTACAATCTCCTTGTTACTGTTGATGACATCACATTCTTCTTCATTGATTAAACCTACAATATATATATATTATATTTGCAATTACCGAAATGAAACAAAAAATGAAAGACCATTACCCAACTCAATCCCCCACAAACATCTTTTATTCCTTTAACAAGTGGGAAGCAGTTGTTTCCATGAGCAGGAAACTTTTCACTCAATGGTCAGAACTGGTTTTTTGCAGGAACATGCATTTATATAAATATATATATACAGTTAAACTTCCTAGCAAGGTCCCAGCAAAATCCCTATATAATATACATTGTTCTTTCACAGAGCCCTCTGCTTTTAAACGAACAATGTTCGACTGTATTAGCAATTTCTAAAATAAAACAAACACAGATCAACATCCCCTAAAACAAGAGGCAAGCCCTTAATTCTGTCAATTTGTTGCTTAGTAATGGTTGGTTCCAGGAACAGATTTGAGATTGTTTCAATATACATGTACCTTATAGCTTCCAACACAATCAAAATAATACAATTAATTTGTATACACTTAACTAAAACAAATCAGTTACAAATAGCAAGGACCACACTCTTTCTTATTACAATAAGCAGAAACACTGATAGAGGCTTTAATTGTATCTAGTTTTTCAATCAATGGGTCATGGTCATACATTTGTATTTGAATGACTCAAAGATTATTGGCCTGAATATTATAGTAATAGCAATATTCTAAAGTACAAAAAAGACCATAAAGATCATTTAAAATGGTACATCATATTAAATTGAGGTATTATGATGCTGCTGTTTAACATGCCATTTCATTCATATATTATTCAGATCAGTGCATAAGCAATTCTAATGATATCAAGGGTCCATTCCCCTTTCTGGCACTGAAAGTCAGAATTTGAAAAAGTATTGTCAACACCAATGCCGACAAGAGGGTCATGTTGACAATACTTCCACTTTTTTTCTTCAAAAGTAGAACTAAAAGTTCTGGTTATGGTTTCAGAAAAGAACACATTTAGATCACATACCTGCCAAACTGGCCAATGCATTCAATGCATACATTTCGTTGGGTGACTTGAGATAGGGTTTCAAACAAGAGATCATGTCAGCATCACGCAACTTTGATATATTGGATTCTCTCATGGACATATTGTGAACAATACTTAGAGAATGTTTCATCAACTTTTCCTCAATTCCCTGAATAAAAAAAAACAATTCTTCAAGCTGTCCGGTTAAACATTGTATATGCTGTAAACTATGTCAAGTAAATTATTGAAATAACAGAGGGTATATTTACCTGTCTTGATCTGTGGATTTATGAAATCAAAATTATAACTTTGTTTATTCCTATGAGCTGTTTTGTTTTTTTAATATGTTGATTATCTCTCCAGTGGTTTTGGAGGAAAAATAACTTGAAGAAATTGTAGTTAACAATTAACAACAAACAAAAACAAATCCACTTAAATAAAATGAGTATTGGAACAGTGTTGTGAAAAAATCAACTGCATGTATTAACAAACATTTTTAAATTCCACTAACCGACAGTTTTGGTTCCCCTTCCTTTGCAAAATATTTTGGCAGTGAATCTCCTAGTATTTGTTTGAGTGTATCAAGAAATCCAGGCTCATTTGCAAGGCCAATTGCATACTCATCACAGCCATCACTAAAATTAAGCAGGGTAATAAGGCTATTTGTTAACGGTACAGTCTTACTTTTTTCCTCCTTCCCATCTTTACCGCACCACCCATTCTTGTATATTTCCATTACAATTTCACAGCTCAAATTGAAATATTTTGTTTCCATCATTAATTCTGCTATGTCTTTTCTGAATTTGTGTATATTTTCTCGAACTGTTTTTTTCAAAGCAAAGTAAATCTGATTAAATCTTATTGTGGCATTATAGATCTTGGTAACAAATGCTCCCCCGCTTTCGTGGCGAGTCTTAAGTGCCACTACCTCATTTGCTGTATCTCTCAGGTAATCAAATGTCTTCTTTCTAAATTCTTCAAGTTCTTCATCTGTCATCCATTCATTTTCAACTTTCTTCTCTCCATTTTCAGCCTCTCCCTTGTCCTTACTATTCTCTGTCCCAGCATCTTTGTCATCACCATTTTCTTTCTGCTTGTTGGACGTTGACATGGTAACAGAAGGTGCTGGAGGAGGAGCTACAATATCATTTAAAGTAGGTGCTTCAATTTGGTCACCAGGAGGCGGAGCTAAAATATTGTTGGAAGGAGGAGCTTCAATAGGGTCACAAGGAGGAGGAGCTGAACTATTGTTGGAAGGAAGAGCTTCAATAGGATCACTTTTTAGACAGTGAGAAGAGGATTTAACTGTCTCTGTACAGTCTTCAATTTTTCTTTCAGACTTTTCTTGCTTTTCAAATGCTGTATCAATAACTTTTGTATTGCTAGTGCAAGACACTGAAGATCCCATAGAAATGTCCTTTCTGAAATATGAAGCATAAAATAATATTACAGATTATAACCAGAATTTTAAATGTAAATTTCACTTTAAAACAACAGATTTGAATATGGAAAAAAAAACAGCAGACATTTTTGACTAATAATCACCCAACCCCTTTCCCTTATTGGAGAAAATCCCTTAGATATTTCAAATTACATTTGTATTTGACAAGTTAATGAAATCATGCAGTTATATAATATATAAACACTTCATGTTGAAATAACATTTTCAAGTAAATGTTTTCCTTTTGTCAAATGCAAACGTTGTATTTAATCTCCAAATTGTTTTTTCACAAATGATGTTGTTGTTCTGTTTTGTTTTGTTTTTTGTTTTTCTTTTTTTTTGGGGGGGGGGGGGGTTTACGTCACATCAACACAGTTTAGGTCATAATTATTGCGACATTCCAGCTTTTACTGGTGAAGGAAGACCTCAGGTGCCCTTCCATGCATCATTTCAGGCACAAACGGGCACCTGAGTAGAACCACCAACGTTCCATAAGCTAGCTGGATAGCTTCCTCACATGAAAGAATCCAAAGTCCCTGTCGGGATTCAAACCCACAGCGGTGAGGGGCAAGTGGTTTGAAGTCAACGACCTTAACCACTCGGACACAAATGATATCAATACCTTGAAAATTAAACACTACAGACTTAATACTCTTTACAATTTCAAGGAAAATGGCACCTGTCTTTCACAATTAAGTTAGGTACTCCTGAGACCTTTTACAATTAGGGGAAGGGATAATGATGCACTTTACCAGTATGTAGAAATATACTGGTTTCTGAAACTAGTATGCTTAAAAAAGCTATGGCTAATCACTTGCAAATTTGTAAGGCTATTCATTTTTTTGTAAATCTGTTTCATATCTGGGGCTACTGGCCCAAAAAACCCACTTAAATTGATTCAATCAAAAATGCCCGCCATATTTTGATCATAGTCAATGATCATCATCATCAATGTACTGGTATTTCAGTGTTTTTATTCTTTATATAACTACTACCCTAAAACGGTACTACATGTTTTCAATAGAAAATAGACATTAAAATTCCCAATTTTCAATGTTTAAATTGCCAAAATGGCTGTTCAAAATTTCCACAAGGCCAAGTGATTTCTCTGAAATCATTTAAATCCAACATATTCATATAAATTATCACTCAATAGTTCTACCTGGACAGTGGAAGCTGTTAGCTATCTTTATTCATGATGACTAATCTTATTTGTAGCTGAAAAAATGCATAAAAATAAATTCCCAATTTAAGTAAAAAGAACGCATTTTTTCCCAATCAGTCTGGTACTGGCACCATTCCCAAAGTAGAGAAAAACTAGAAAATGTGTCCATAAGCCACGGGTGCCCCCACCGCGCCACTGTTCTGTCAATCTTATGACCCTAGGTCAAATATTTTTTGAAAACAAAAAACCTGTTACTAAGTAAAGGGCAAGAACTTTACAAACACTGAATAAATCCACAAGCAAACCCAAAGTTGAAAATTGCAAATTTATACTACTGTAAGTCAAGGGCAATAACTCTAACAAAACTGAAAAAAATCCACATGCAAAGTTCCAGGTGCATAGCTTCACAGTGATGTGAATCATTATTCCTGTAATTTAGTGATGTTGATCATTATTCCTGTAAAGTTGGTTGATTCTAACTCAAGCACTCTAGCACTCGAGGAACAGATAACAACATAATGAAACAGTTTTTACTAAGTCAAGGGAAATAACTCTACAAATACTGGATAAATCCACAAGCGAAACCCCAGGTGCAAAACTAAATATGCTGAGCAACCTTCCCATAAGGTTTAATGACTCTATGTCAAAGCCTTTTTGAGTTACATGCGACACAAGTTGAAAATTGCAAAATTTTACTAGGTCAAGGGCAATAACTCTAAAAATACTAAAAATATCCAGACGAAATAACCCAGGTGCACAACTACACATGCTGATCAACATTCCTGTAAAGTTTCATGACTCTAGGTCAAATACTTTTTTGAGTTACGTGCGACACAAAAGAAAACGGAGGGAAGGACGGACAGAAGGAAGGACAAGGGTAAATCTAAATGCCCGCCACTAAAGTGGGGGCACAAAAATGCTGTATTTAAAGTGCATTCTACCCAAAAAAGCACTTGTTGGGAATGCTATCTTTGTTTATCACATAAACTAGTCGGTGTAGGAGTGTAATAATGCCATTAAATAAAAACAATATTGCACTTTTGTTATAACATTTTAACATAGCCTTAAAGCCTACTAATATATTAGTGTTACACAAATTAAACTTACATTACAGGGGTGCCAATACAAAAAGACAATTTTAAACTGAAAACTGTTCTAATTCTTTTTGCATGTACGTAATAATTAAACAGAAATTTTTTTCCTATGCGAATTAAAATGCCCATGCAATCCAATATGGAGTTTTGTGGACCTATTCTCCCTCTGCAAAGCTTGCTGGTGGTTGCCTAAAATGTTGTTTTACAGGCTTTGCATTCCCAGAATCTATGTTATTATATTATTATGTAAATTTCATATTACTGGAGTTACCAATGTTGAATTTACCTTTGGTGCAAACACTGGAGTTTAATTAGCAGTTGCACCAACTGAACTTGTTGGTCTTCATCAAGTTTACAACGAAAGTTACACCTCTCAATACTGTGGTGGCATTATGGTATTTTTTTGATAATTAAAATAAATAACTATCAACAATTTCTGGCATTTAAACCATAGAAAAATATTTATTAATTAATTAATACCTGCGCATACACAAGATCGATGGTATGAATGGGAAGTTTATAAAAACTGAAACCCGACATCTAAGTTTTTGTAAAAATTGAGACCCGGCATGTAAACTATGCCTAAATTAAAGACACATAAAAAGTTATTGGGATGAATAGATGATGAAATGGGAATGATAAATAGGATATGGTGGCTTGCATATCAAACTGTAAAGAATTATAACACAAAAGTAGCAAGACATTACACAAGATATATACAAATATGGGGACAAAATGATATATTTAACAGTGTTTAATGATATTCGTAATAAAACAAATATCGACCAGATGACAATCACACCAATTTACCAGTTTACAGGGTATCCTAATGATGTATCGATATATTTAATGAAAATAAAACCATGAACAACTTACTGCGAATTCTTTCACGGGAAATAATTAGGGCTTCATTAGTAAAGAATATTTATTGATATAGATACGTGCATATATAAACCTGACAAGCTTTATTCATTCGGAAACAGAGCATGACAACTTTTGAAGAGCATCTTGCATGTCTGGTTACCATTTGTAAACATGTAAACAGTGGAATGGTTCTCCATTTAAATCAGTTAACTTCAGGTGAGAATACAAAATGCTTGAAACTTAGAACTAGTCTGATCAATCCAGGTTGAACATAACTAATTTCTTTCCTTTTTCGATAAAATGTTGAGAGAAGGCTTCGAGGTAACAAATCTATATTTTGCCATACAAGACCTGTGACACTTAGTCAATGGATATTTTAAATACATATTTTTCTCGTTCCTAAATTAATAGTGTTTTGATAATTTTAATATATTGAGTATCAGAAAAAAGACAAAAACCAACATTTATTATCAAAAATCAAAAATAATTTATAGATAATTTGCTTGTTTCATATTTCATTATGTTGGTCTCCTTTAATGATATCTACAGGTACCTTACCTTCTCCATCCCGACATCCACCATGTATTTTCTATTTTTTTTCATTTTTATGTTTCTTTGAATGCCTTATCTATAAAAGAAGGATCTGCAATAATTGTATTATCTTAGATGTATTGCCTTTTTAAGATTCATATGTTATAGAGAATACATGGTTAATGTCGGGATGGAAAAGGTTTATCCGGTGAGCGAGAAAGTTTATCTTGGCGAGCTTTAGCGAGCCAAGATTCACTTTCGCAGCGAACCGGATAAACCTTCTCTATTGATCTTACATCAACCATGTATTTGATTTATCCTGCTTTTAATCATGTTTTAAGAATAATTAAATGGTTTCATTCTTACTTTTCCCCGATAAAATAGCATCTCTATATAGTTTTGTTTTGCTGCTAACCATGTGACGTCATCATATGACGTAATGACTGGAGATTGAATTAAGTTTATCCGGCCACAGACACTTGGAGTATAGACCCCGCCCTTCTCCGCCCCTGAATGTAACAAAGTAAAAGTATTATCTATTACAAGAATAAGTTTTAAATTTTTGCTTATATTAGTATGAGACGGTTAAGTGTCTAACACGTGAACAAGTTTCAACCGAATTTCATAACGTTTTAAAAAAGTCAATTTTTTTACCAACGCTTCAATTTCCTGTGTGTATGAATTGAAATTATGATATTTTAGGGACTTTTTTAAACGTTGTCAAAATAGCGGAAAACAAGTTTTATGTTCAAGACATGTGACCAGGTCGTAATAATATGCAAAAATATTTGGACGTACGGTTTGCACGATAAAAATACACAAGGTGTATACAAGTGCGGATCAAGGAGGGGAGCCACGCACATAACCCCAAGTGTCTGTGTATCCGGCAAGGCTTTTTGCACACGTAATTTATTCTTTATGTCTACCTGCCTGCTGGCATTCAACAATCTAATAACCAGTATATTTTCTAAAGCTTGATGAAAAAGAGAAAGCTACATGTAGATGACAGATATGTTCCAGCACCTTAATCATTGCATACTAGACCTCAATTGTACAGATGCTAGATTATTTTTTTCATTTTTACAAGATTTACAATGATCATGAATGCAGGTTGCTATGCAAATAAAAAATAACCCCTTCCCGAACACCACGCCATGGTTATCCCCTGAGCTACAGGTTATTTACAGCAATGTCATACTATTTTGAATTCCCATTCTTTTCTATAACTTATATTGCGGTAACATTACCCCGTCAGGGGACCTACTTCCATGTCTCACTCTACAGGTTTATCTCCGTCCACTAGCCCCACCCCTACAGTTTCTTTATCTTCTATGATCAATTCTTTTCTATCTCCACCCGACCCACCTCACCTCTACACTTTCTTCTTTTATCCCTTCTTAACAATATTGTTTTCATCTTTTTGCAATATGTTTTCAAACACGCATACATCTTCCATTAAAAATGTACTTACGGGCACAGATATAATTGTTAATTTAGCAGCTTACAACCTTTTGAATTTTAGTTGAGTTGCATCCCCTTGACTATAGTTTCAAAGGCGCGAATAAAATGTGTGCACGTGAGAAAATTTAAATTATTTTTGTTTCTTTGCAGGAGCAATAATTGCAGCAACAACGATGAGTTGATTATAAAAATCTAGTACAGTTCATAAAATTGTTAATTTAGATCTATACAGTATTTTTATAATTTTATTGAGCAAATCAACACAATTCGATTTTTGGTATTCTTATACAGTACTAAGGTGTTTCTTGAGTAGAGCAATGTCGGGTATCATCGACAGGTTTAACATCATTTGTTAATAAATAAACCGATTTTCCCGTTTAGACCCTAGGTTTATTTTAGATGATTCAGTTTGCCTTTAATCTAAAACAAATTCATATGTTTGTATACTGACTTTGTTTATTAGATGCAAATAACTTTTTCTAAACAGTACAAAGACTATGTGCAGGCAGTTACCGACTACTGGAGGCATTTATCGACAGGTGAAGTAAATTTTAAAAAAAATATGTTAAACCTGAAAATGATCATATCATTATAGTTTATTTATTACTTATTACGATCTGTAAAAAAAAAAACAAGTAAGTGACATTACTTTATTTCGACATAATTTTCCCTTTAAATACAGTACTCGCAAATAGAAAGGATAGTTTGCAAAGCTGATTTGCTGGAATTTCAAGAAGCACGGCAATCCCCGGTACAAAGCACGTGCCACTGTCGTGGCAATTTTAGGCACTTGACCCATTCATCATCATCATCAACGCTTTCTGATGTTTTACAATCCGGGACAGAGTTTAGATTCGTCAAAGGCGTCATCAGAATCCATGAATGCACTCGCACTGTATCCACTATCGGATGAACTACTTTCTCTTCTTGAACGTTTCTGTTTTTGTTTAGAAATTTTCTTTCCATCTTCCTTTTTTGTTTGGCTTCTTTCTCTTTGTAATCTTTTTCTTTCTTTCATTTTCTCCTTTTCTAGTTTTTTCTTTCTTTTTCTTCTCTCCTTTTAACATTTTCAACCAATTTCGGCAGCCCTTTTAGCCTCTCTTTCCTCGAACATTTTCAGTGCCGCAGATCCAGAAATAGCCTTAGGTAATTTTTCTGAAAATCGATTTACTACTTTCCGTTGCTTTGGCTCTGGAACAGTAGACACTGAAAAGCTGGCGAAACAAAATTTGCCTACAAGGAACCGTATTTGGTAAGTGAGCAGAGGATAAAACTATTAATGAACGCAGTTTTGCCAATTATTCGTAGTTGAGCCATTTGCAGAAGAGGCTGCTCAGTGCAAGTTTCACTTGTTGGTACATGTTAAGTGGTTGCCAGCAGAAACTGTTGCAGCATCTCCCCAGCGGTGTTCAGGGAGGATTAAGCTTTACCTTTGACGGCTCCAATTTAGAAATATCTATTGCCGTTTGGATTTCAATGGAAATAATCCGGAACCGTCCGAAAACCATGTGCAGCATTGTCAAAAGTGGGTGACACCCCTGTGAAATGAATGCTTACAGTTCATGAATAATCATGAAGTATTCATTCTAGTTCATGACCTAGATTCCATGAATAGTTTCATGGGGAATGTACATGAAGAACCAAAATGGCAGCAAAATTCTTGAAAAGTTCATGAGGACACCTAGTTCTTGAACTGTCCCATGTTCTGATCAGTTCATGACTCAATAAAACATGAACATTTCATTGAAACTGTTCTTGAACAAAATGCAATGAAAATGCTCATGAAACTGTTCACTTACAGTAAATTAATGAACTGTTCATGAATTTACCTCTACATGGAACTTTTCTGGCACTTTTTCCAGTGCAAATTCATTGCTGCCATTTTATCTTCACGGAAAAGTACAAGAACAGTTCAAGAACTACAGTTCATAAAACAGTTCCTAAACTACATTTACATTATTTCACATCATGAAAAATGCAAGACAGAGCAGACAGATGATACCAATCAAAATTTGCGGACTAACAAGTCTAAACAATATGCTTACTCAACATAAGCTCTAAGTTATATTGTTCAAAAAGTAAAACCACAAACATGTAAAACTGCTTGTAAATTTAAAAACTACACATCTTTGTTTAACAAGAACTAAAGAAATAGTTTTTTCTTCAATACAGCTTGCTGATTTTCAAAAGTTGCAAAATCAAGAACTTGAAATCTAGAACATTTCCAATGTTTCACTTATTTTATGATTTATTTCCTTCTGATGACCTTTCTGCAAAGTCTCTAGTTTGTTTTATTAAATACTTCTTTTGATACACCGGTTTTTCCTCCTCACTAGTCTTTCAAGATTGCTGAGTTTCGAGGGTTCAAGTGGTCGGTCTCGGGGAATCCTTACACTTATTGGTCATCTTTCCAGTCCTAGAGTGGGTTCTAAGTTCCTCCACAGTGAAGATAGTCTTTGCTATTGTAACCAAGACTTCTTGAGTATCACTAAGATGTTTCCACAGCTTATAATTTCGGGGTCCTCCACTTTTGTATTCTGACTCTCTAAAGCAGTAATTGGCTCCTCGCATGCCGTCGAATCTTTCTACGCAGGCTTCTGCACTCATCCTTCCCATCTAGTTTGGAAAATAACAACAAAAAAAACACAATATAACGTCTTGCTGTTTGAAATGACAGTTTTAAACATCACACAAATGTTACGAAAAAATGCGTTTCCATAGTACCCTTCAAACCTAATTTTTATACCCGATGATCAGGGTATATAAGTTTTTCATTAATATTTAAGTAGAAAATGCTATTATGCGGAATTTAATAAACTAGATTGAAATTAGACTGAATTAAAAATTCTAGGAATTTTGCCAGTGCAAAAAATATCTGGTTTCTACTGTAGACAATTGTAAAATTGGGTCTTGTAACCTCAACTATATTGCTTACCCGTCAGAATTCTAGCCTCAAACCACAACAATCCCCCAGCAGTTCCTGCATTTTACGATTCACTTTCACATTTGACACTGTCAGCACGGACCTATAATGTTATTATATATAGAGAGATTAAATCCAACACACCCAAAAAAACAACAACAACAAAAAAACAAAAAAAAAAAACAACAGAAAACGTGGATTTCTGTTCCAATAAAAATTTTGGAGTATCTTATTTGCCTTTTAAAAATACA